GTGTTTGGCATATGCATAGGCCTTTAACAGTTTTAATATCGCTGTTCACTTGATGTCACAGTAGACATACTACAAATATTATATTTCTCAATCTTCAAGAAAGTTATGGAAATATATTCTCTTCCACTTTCCAGTAACAGTGTAGGGATCTCCAGGCTTTTACTTTTCAATAAAATTGTTGATAATATAAGGAGCATAAAATTTCAATATTGGTTGAGAACATGTTAAGTTCTTTTCAGTTTATGTCTAAATAGACAGCTTTGTCTTCTTTTTGACATTATCTTAGGTGGGTACTAATTCTTTCATTTCATAGATAGATGTGATAGGAGTTTCTTTGAATACTAAATGCCGTAGGCTATCACATCTATCCGTTTGTTTCTGCATTAAAAAAATTCAGTTCCTGAAAAAAATTCTCTCCTGAGAGGAAGAACTGGAGAATGGGTGGATTTCAACAGTTGCTCTCTGTACAAGCAGCATTTCACAGCAAGTCAACTATAATGCTCTTGATAAATTTCTTTGCAAAAATTATAATCAAATAATAAACAAGGTTTTGAGAGTCCAGCTAGATGTTTCTTGTTTCCTGTTACAGGCACACAGGCATATGGACCAGAAGCATAATATTAAACTTAGTATATGAGGATTTATTTTACCACAGATTAATTTTTTCTCATTAATTAATATATAAAAACAATTAATACCATGGCATATTAGGTTTATAACATTTATAAATGTTTAATATATTTATAAGCAACTACTAAAAATGTTTTAGCATTAATTTTCACTATTAATATAGTTTGGCTGCATTTTCTATGATTTTCACATGATATGTGTTTGAAAATACCACATGCATATTGACAAGGGAGAGATAAAACTGAAGTTTATCAACAGATTAAGGATTAATAAACATGGTGCAAGATACATAACCAGTAAGTATAGTTTACAAATATATACATCAACTAAGTGACCAAGAATAAATCAAAATTTTAAGGGCTTAATCAGAGAAGGTGATTTCAAAAGAGGCATTTCAGGACATACCTAACCCACCAGAGAGAAATCTTGTGATAGAAGAACTACTGAGACTTCTGCTGTGTTAGAAAGTTACTTTTAGTACAATGGTAAAATGAGCAGTATTTTACATATTTTTGTTTTATTGTGCAAGCAATTATTTTCTAGGATAAATTCTCAAATGTTCTAAAGCAATGAGCATTATTGAGAAGCAGGTAGCCTGTCTCTATGCTGTCTTTATTTAGCCTTCTAAAGTCGTCCTGTTAATGAGACGAAAAAGGGATTGCCATATTTTAATTCTAAAAGTTTCGCTTCTTTACTTCCACCCACCACAGAAAGTTTTTGTCGTGGTTTGACCTGCCACCCCCCAGGGGGTTGGAAGTGATTAGTCCCAGGTGAGTTTCCGATGAGGGGTCAATTGGAGCTGCATTTTACCCCTGCGAAGTTAGTATATTACAACAGCCAAAAGGAAGTTGTTGGCAGAGTGAGAGGGAATGGAAGCCAAGAGGTGAGAGGAGAGAGGCCTGTGGGCCTGTTGCGGGTGGGGCCAGGCCCTCTCTTCTCCCCCGGCCGGGCTGCAGGGGAGCCCAGAACAGTATTGTAACTGGACTGGGTGCCTGTGGCCAAAGGCTAGGGTTTTTTTCCCCCCACTGCCCAGGAGTGGCATGGACTTGAGAGGCCAGCCAGGGTTGGAGCTAGCCCCCCCCAGCAGGCAGGCACGGCATTGGAGCCAAGCCAGAGACGGGCCAGGGGGTGGCCCGGAGCTGTAGAAGCAGCGGAGGTCGTGCAGAGTTGGAAGAATTCCAGGCAGAGAAAGAGAGACCAAAATAGTCTCGCTGCCACCTTTCTCCCCCCACCGTGGCAGGGGGAGGAGGTGATCCTGAGCTGAGACTGAAGCAAAAACAGAGACGGGCCAGGGGGCTCAGAGGTGCTCTATGCGAGGTTTGGGCAAGAGCAGCCGAAAACAGAAGGAAGAATCCGGGGGCGGGGGGAGGAATGCCTCCTTATAACACGTGGAAGCCAAGCTGAAGCTGCAGCTGAAACAGAGAGAAGCCAAACCAAGCAGGCTTTTTCTAGGTAAGGACTTCTGGTGAAAATTCTTTGGGGTATAAAAGACTGAGCAAAACCCAGAAACCCTGCAACCTGGAGAGGAAGAGTGAACATCTTACTCTCTGGAAGGAACCTTCACAAAACAGGGAGAAAGGACTCAAAAGCTGACTCCCTGTAACTCGTGATGCAGACCTGGTAAAACAAGTGTTCCCTTGTAGTCCAGGAGGAGACCTCAGCAGACGCCAAGCAGCTGGTGGGGGTAAAGAAGACCCCTTCCCTGATACCCCAATGAGAGAGACTTTAGCTATCATCCTGGAGGGTTCTTCTTCTTCTGGGGTGGTAGAGATTGTGTTAATACTGTGTATTTATTTGCTTTTTAGTTTCTATAGTTTTTATTTTGTTAGTAATAAACTTTGATACAATTCCCTATGCTGAGTTGTGCCTATCTGAAAACTTCTCTTTCACATTGAGGCAAATGGTTGGGGGAGCTTGGAAACAGGATTTTTGGAGTGAAACTGCCACAGTTTTCATTGTTATTTTTCCTTATATTTTGATGTTATAATTGTCTAGATATTTAATTTAAATGTTCCAATAATAGGTGTGACTCTACTACAATAGTAGAGTTGGCATAACTTTACCACAGTAAACTAAAAGTGGATCTTTGTTAGGTTTTTTTTCTCTTACTGCACATCTTATATCTTTCTGAGGCAAATGGGATTTTTCTAACAACACAGGCCCACTAATTAGATTTTATTTTTTTTTAAAGACAGTTTTCTAATTGCTTTTGCTGTACTGGTGTTATTACTTAATGGTCTTTTCTGAGCTGGAAGATTCTCTTTTGTGTATGGTTGGTGCAGCTGGTGCAAGCCTTTGTAGTTACACTATGATATTACACACATCTGCATTGGATGATCTCATGTTGATTGGTGTGATTTTGGCAAGACAACTTCTATGGATTATAAATTTGACCTTTGCTTCCCCTTTTTGTTACAGAGTCTCTTTTCTGGTTTGGGGTTTGTTTTGTTTTGCTTTTTTCTTTTTTTTTTCAATTCTCTCTTACTCATGTTACCCAAGAATTTAACTTTCTTCAGTAAATTTTCATGTGGGTTGGCAAATTTACTTGGCTTGGCAAATTTTAATTACTTCAATAAAAATTAGTTCTTTGTTTTTGAGATTTGGGACAAGTCACAACCTAATCTTTTATAACCCCCCCTGCGCTCTTGCATTGTTAGGTCAGCTGTATCCTCTTTCTCTATCTTGTTTTTACACAGTCTTTAAAAAAAGTTCAATTTATCTATGCCATTCTAGTTTTTTAATTTACTAAAAAAAAAAAAAAAAAACCCCAAAAAGGAAGAAAGAACCAAAACCCAAGTGCATATAAGCTGTTTTGCTGTGCTCATAACAGGCATTCCTAGAATCAACAACTCAGAGTATTACAGAATCACAGAATGGTTAGGGTTGGAAGGGACCTGTACTGGAGGTCAACCAGTACAACTCCCTGCTAAAGCACATTCACCTGAAGTAGGTTGCACAGGATTGCCACGGTTCGAGAGGGGATGGGGCCGTGACACAGCACAGACGGGTCCAGAGTCAAGGCAGAGGTGCAAATAAAATACTTCATTGATGTGTGCCCAGGGTTTTATGAGTTTAGGCAGGGAAAGGGCTAGAACATGGGGTGGAGCATGAGACAGACAAACGGGGGAGCAAATCGGGGTAGGGACACAGGCAAAGGGGGAGGAACGTGGGAGGAACCGGGGAAGGAAAGAGCGAATGGTAACTGTCTCCTCTCTGCAGCTTCTTCAGCCTATAAGAGAGGGGAGCGGGGAAGCAGGGAGCAGGCAAGACTCATTGCAAGCCTCGGCATGCCCAGGCTGTGCACTGTGGCAATACACATATCTGAAGCCACATAATAACAGTAAAGTCCATATAATAAAGTCCTGTCAATTGCTGTATGTCTTTCTCCACACCTGGAACCACTCCCATCCTGAATCTTGCTCCTTCACATCTCCCCCTCTCTTGTTTGTTTGATGCACGGTTAGAAAATATCTGTTGTGATGGTCCTCTTACAGCATGCTGCAACACAAGAAATAGTTAAAAACAACACAAACAGAGAAAGTAGAATTTCAAAGCAGGTTAACAGGATTTGCTTAAGCTAATTAGGTAGGCTGGGTAAATTCAGTTTGTCAAATAAATCATCAGTGGAGAATTTTGGTGACATTTGTTTGTCATTGACCAGATCTTGTAACTCTTTTATGCTTTTGAACATGGATTGGAAGTGCTTTTCAATGGGACTTCTACTCAGGGGCATGTTAGGTTTTTCCAATTTATTTGAAAAATTTAATACATGTCCAATCTTTCCCATCCTGAATCTTGCTCCTTCACACAGGATTGCATCCAGTTACGTTTTGGATATCTCCAGAGGAGGAGACTCCACAGTTTCTCTGGACCTGTTCCAGTGGTCTTCCACCCTCACAGTAAAGTTTTCCTTTTTCACTTACTGCATATGAGAACTTTCAAGTAGAAACATGTCACAATATCCTTCTGTATCTCCCCCCTTCTCTTTGCTGCTGTCTCTCATTGTGTTCTCTTACATGGTAAGTTGGTGTGACAGAGGCACCCTCCCTGCATGAGCAAATAGCACTGTGGCTCAAGCACCACCGACCAGAGAGTCTTGACTGGAAACAGCCCTTCTGGGCAGACTGTGAGGACCATGCTGGGCTACATCTTCTCAGGAACAAAGGAGTACAAGCTGTGTCTTATCAGGAGCCCGAACTGGGACTGGAACTGGAACTAAAACTGCTACAGCTGCACCCCTGCACATATACCAAGGGAGGGGGGCTGCCTACGAGTCAATCACTTTAGACTATAAAAACCTGTGGTTCCCCTAAGTCCCCTGCGTTCTCCTGCATGCTACTGGTTGTACAGCAGCCCTCTAGATTGTTCATGAGCAGGGCTGGGCCTCAAGGTTACTCCTCGAGGTCAGGAGATGCTTTATCCAGCATCTGATATCTATAATGAGGTAAGCAACATTTTACATTAGGCCTAAAATATATTGTGTGCTAGAGTCATTTATATATATCCAGCTATATCTTAATTATTAGAAGTGTGCTAAGTAGTAGTGTTTGACTACTGTCTAAATTGTTGTCTAAATCAATGTCTAATCACCATCTAAACTATCATTTAAATCATCATTTAAACCATTGTCAAATCATTATCAATTAATTTTTAAATCATTGCTTAACTAATATTAAATTATTACTTTATCACCATTCGTTTACCATTTGATTTTCAATCATCAAATCGATTATCATTTTATCATTAACAAAACCTTTTAGTTATCCCCATAACGATGATTTCTTTTAATGCTTTATTTGCAACACTTTGTTATTTGGGTTTTGGTTGAGTTTTGTTGTTCTTGTTGCTTAAACAGATAATTCAGCTTTTCTTCACTAGGTGTCCTAGGGAAAAAAAATCTTTAGCCACAATATGAATTTAGTGCATCTTATGTGCATTTATTTAGTGTATTTATAGTGCATGTTGCTACCAGACAGTAAGGTCTGGTTTTCACAATTATTTTGTTACTTTTCTTGAGGCTTAGACACAAAGATTACCAATAAAATATAGATTCTGAGGCATGTGAAACCTTCAGAATATTAAAGCATTGGATCTACAGAGTTCAAGACAGACAAGGCATCCACTGCAAAAAATATTCATGCAAAGTGTTCAGACAATACATATATTGTAAATGAAACAAGGGAGGAAAGAAACAGAGCTGCCCAGTCCATTCTAGGAGAAAAAACATGCCTTTGTTTTCCCATGGCATTGTTAGACACAAAGAATGCTGAATAAGTGATGAACTTAGTTTTTGTGCGATTAAGTGCACCAGCTGTATTTCTGAATTTGCCTTAATTCTCCCATGTTGTTCTTTCACAGAATGTAGATTTGAATAGCCACATCCAGCTATCTATTCTAGAACAAGTGAGAGGTTTTTAATGTCATGCTGCTTCAAATCAGCATCATTTGAGATATCAGACAGCACTGAAATTATACTTATGGAATATGACGCATTGTAAGCAAAACACCCTAAAAAATACTAGTCTTAATCTCTTTATTACATGCTACTGGCATTATCAAAAGAGGCTAGGACTTTCCTATAAAATCAGAAGAAATCCCCTTCCCAAAGGACTATTTCTCTGAACAGCAAATAAACAGAGGAATGGAAGAAAAACCTTGCTACACAGGAGAAATAACTTTCTGGGGGAATGTTTAGGATTTACAAATTTTTCATCTCTACAAGCAAACAATATTAATTCTATCAAGACTACTTTTTTACTTGTTCAGTTTTAGTTTCCTCAGCCAAAGTTATTCTGTAACAAAGGAAAAAGACTATGAAGCATCCTGGTAACTTGCAGGGAAAAACATCCTTTCTTCAAGGAGAAGAATGGCCACATTTAATTAGCTGAAGACATGCTGGTTCCAAGGCCTGTTTTTCATATACAGGATCAGGACACAGATTCTTCCACTGTAACCCTCTTACATAAATGTCTCCTTCCCTGAGGCTGTATTCAATTTAGAACTGGAATAATGAAGAATCAATAGAGGCCTGACAGGAATACATGGATAAATTTTGGCAGTGTCATTATTTTATATTTGGTGAAGCTTTGAGAAAACTTTAGGAAAAGCTTTACATTCACACGCAGACATTATATCTACCTAGAATGGCAAACTGAAGCAGAATTTTTCAGCAGATTCCAAACCTTTAGTGGCTAAACCATCAGAGAAGCAAGGGGAAGGCCAGTTACCTTTTACAAAAATAAAGATTGATTCAGGCTTGTTTCTGTTTCCTGACCTAGCCTAAATATTTATGCCAGTGCTGAAGTAATGAATTTGTTGAAAAAAAGATAGCATTATGGAACACACTTCATTAGCAAAACCATCCATCTGGAGAGGTGATTTCTGTGCCTTGATATAACAGTCTGTATTGGGTCTGGCTGAGCTGGAGTTCACTTCTCCACAGTAGCCCTCACAGTGCTGTGCTTTGCGTTGGCAGCTAGAAAGGTGTTGATAACACACCTGTGTTTTGGCTACTGCTGAGCACAGCATCAGCACGGTAACATTCCTTCCTCAGTCAAGGTGCAAAATCCTGGGACGGGACCCAAGTAGGCCAGCTGACCCAAACTGACCAAAGGGATATTCCATACCATATGACGTCAGCTCAGATATAAAAGCTGAGGCAAGGAGCAGGAGAGTGGGCATTCATTATCTCCAATGGCTGCCTGCTAAGGAACCGTCACAAGTACCAAAGCCCTGCTTCTCGGGAGTGGCCGACCATCGCTGCTCATGGGAATTAGAGAATAAACCCTGCTATCTTTCGCTTTGCTTCTGCGTGCACAAGCTTTTGCTTTACTTTTTCTGCTTTAAATAAACTGCCTTATCCCATCCCACAAGTTGTTTTTTCCACCTTATTCTCTCCCCTGTCCAGTTGAGAAGGGGAGTGATAAGAGCAGCTGGGTGGGCACCTGGCGTCCAGCTGAGGTCAACCCACCACACAGTCACATCATGTTTTATTGTAGGTTAATTACTTTGAATAAAATTAGGAAATTATCCAATTCTTAAGATATACTAACTAAAATTAAAGCTCTTCACACATAATGGGATGACACAACTAAGTAAAATGAAAGAACTTGCCACATATTCAGGTTTGGTTGCTTTTCCCTGAAAATAAAATTGATATAAACCTATTCTGCTGCTTAATCATAAGAGGGGATCTTGTTCATAGAAAAACTCTCAGCAATAAAGAAATTTCAATGTGTTGAAATAAAACAATTACAGGAGCCACAAATTTATGGTTTTGGTAAAGATAATAAAATTCACAGTTCTTTCCTCCTTATGTTAACCGTTAGAAATTTGAGGTTTGACTGGTTCAGTACATTACACTTTCCTCTATAAAAACCACCTCTCAAAGCTATCAACTCTCTCTCAGAATACTATTTGAACAGCTTTGTATGTCATAAGGAACCACCACCCAACAATCTTTTGCTAACTGCTCTCTATCTGGAAATGAAGACCAGCTCCACAATGTCGTCTTTCATTGCTGCAAAAACAGAGCTGTTGAAAAATCGAATTTACCATAAAGAAAAAAAAACAAACAATCCAGTCATCTTCTGATAACCATTAGAGTGGATAAAAACACCCCATACTTAACAGAAAATAGAGTGGTTCGGGCACTAAAAATTCACTGTTCAATTTCCAGCTTTGTCACAGGTTTCTTATTTGACCTTGCTCATATATCAATGTGCTCCATTTCTCCTTTTGTAAAGTAGATATGAAGGACTCCTTTTCCCTTTTTTCTATCCCTCTGCCCATTAATCATTTAGACTATATCTAAGATACACATATACACCCATATATATAGAGTAATCCCTTTGTATATCTGCATGAGGTGAGCACCATGATGCACTCTTTAGTGATGCCAGTGCTGTCAGCACCAGTTAGCTGTTCTCCTGGCTGTAAGACAGAATTACTTTAGAGTTTAAGTAAGCAGACACAAACTGTACACTATATAGGGCTTAGGCAAAAGACAAGGATTTTTATGCTCAGTCTGAGTTTTTCCTCAGTATATCCAGACCCTAATTTTAAGTATTCAAGGAATTCTAAGGACAATCAAAGAGGATAAGAAGTCTCTGGAGAGCCACTCCAACTTGGACTTGAGCAAAACTTAGATACTGAAGGTCAAGGCAAGGCAGCATCTAAGTGACATTATCTTGTTTTTATTATTATGCATATGTACAACATCCAAAACATTGTGAGGTCCAGACTTTCTTTGAGAACTTTACTGCACATCAGAGAATATAAATAATAGTTTTGTTTCTATAGATTCAACAGTCACATTGCCTACTCAGAGTTTTAGACAGCATCTCAAAGTCTGCCCAGCAGAATTCTTTCTTAATGAATATTGCAGCAAAAATGACAAATCTATAGACAGAAAAGTTGATAGACAAGTGTATTAACTTTCTCTCTTTTACGATAAAAACTACAGGTAATCATCTATCTTAATGAAGGTTCTTGTAGCTGCAAAATTAACAAAAGAATATTATCTGTGCAAAACATTCACCAAACTCTTAAGGCACAGAAATGTTGCTGTTTGTGAAAGAATTTTCTTTAATGTCTTCTTGCCTGATAATTTTCTTTGTCATTGCATATTAATGAGTCATTGCAATTATCACAAAGACCATACTACAAAGATATGTTCCATTTTGGATGTAGTTTTCATTTAGAAAATGTTTGCTACAATAATTAAATGGAAAATTATAATCCAAAGTCTCTTAGAGACATTTGAAATAAAATAACTGTAAAACTTGAGTTCATTCCCCCATTTAAGGACAACCTTCAGCTGAAAAGCCCTACAGTATAGAGCAATATATCTGATAAATCCCCAGAAACTCAGATTTTAGAGCAAACTAAATTAAAGCACGAATTGTATTATTGACTTATCCAGTAACTGTTTTAAGAAAACAAAGGACGGATATTTTTTGGGAAGGTGAGAGGGGAAAGCAAGAAAAAACAAGTTTCTGTTCTGTCTTCCCACCACTCTACCAAAATCTCAGAATCAGGAGTACTTCCTACTTCCCACTGATTTTTGATCTGCTGACTGTGCAATTTTTTTTTCATTTGTGTGAAATAACATTCTTGGTCTCTTTCCACTTCTTTTAGAATGGCCTTTAAAGTAACCTCTTAGCTTGTATCTTTGTGTTCTTGGAGTTCTGTCCTTACTCTCTTTCTGTTGTCCTTCTAGATTTTATTTCAGCCATGGTCTCTCTTCAAAACCTTTCTAAAATATTTTTGGAGTTTCTTTTGCCTATTTAGCTATGCAATCAAAAGTCTCATTTATGTACTTATGAATTACCAAAATATTCTTTTTTTGGCTTTACCATGTGTTCTGCTTGTACAAAGTCAGAGCATTGTTACAATAATGAACTTTCTGTCCCATCACTTTGACTGCAGTATTCATTTCTGTGCATTCATACATTCATGGGTTTCCATGCAAACCTTCTAGACCTGAGACGGGACATCTTCACAAGTCATCTCATTGCCATCCCTATTCCATTTGTTTTTATGATGTCTGTAAATATGAATACTTTGGCTGCTACTGTTTTATGATTCTTGCATATTGAGAAAGACCAGGACTGAAGTACCCAACTGTATCCTACTAACCAGTGTCTTAATCCTTTGAACGTTAGCTACACGCAAAACATCTCGGTTTGTGGCCGGTTTTGTACCGCACCTACCCTAATCAGCTCCTGATGTAGGTCAAAGCTTTTTTGTGCCATGGTAACTCAAATCACATTTTTTATTGACATTTCTAGCAAAATTCCCATTTCAAAAAGGAGGCAGTTTGGATTATGCGTACTGATTAGATTCTGTTCAAAGCATGATGAAAACTGTAGTTGCTTATGAAACTGAAACGAATAAAACTGTGACTTCGGGCAGCAGTGGCAGAGGTCCGATTTAACACAAATACATTTTGCCAACAAATTTCCAGTTGCAAGTCTGCTGTTCAGCTACTTATCCACTTAACTAATCTTTCATTGCCTTGAGATAGCTAGCATACACTGTCCAATGACACTTTTCAGATGGAGCATGCTCTGCTGCTCCACTGTCATGCAATTTGGTATTACTTCTAGAAGATACTGCCTGTGTTGCTATCCAAGGCTCATTTCATATAATGTAATCTGTCTGACTGTTCATATTGCTACAAGTACAGTGAAATTCCACCCATTATAAAATGTCAGTGTCCCACCAATCATACAAATTTTTTCCCGTTTATCGCAATAATATCTGAGCTCATTAAAACACCTACTAAATCTCTTACAAGTTCTTCCTTGGTAATCCCTTCTCTTTTATCTGGAGGAAGTCTCTGCAGAAGGATTTTGTGACAGTTGTACCTTCCATTCAACTCTTGCTGAAATTTGTACTATTTTTCCAATAGCCTTTTTCCCCTCATAATACAAAACAATATCTCATTAACCTATTGTTGAGAAAGTCATCTCCAAAAGATTATTGTTTCATGTCTGACACAGTTGGCTCTGGAATGTAAACAGACCCAAATAAATCCACAGCTACAGATTGACTTGAAAATGGGATTCCCACTGAGGCACTGAGCTTATGAGTAGGCAGGCACAAGAAGCAGTTACCAATACACGCAGAAACCAAAGAGCAAAACTAAACCAAAGAAATTACAAGTCAACTAGTTTTTATAAAATTATGTTTTGAAAGAGAAGATTCAATAGCTTTGATACAGAATCACTAAAGTACTTGGTTTGGGAAATAATAGTTTTGAGCAGAAAGCCCCAACACCCTAACTGTATTAATCAAAACCACCAAACAGCTTTTGGCAAAACAATTATTAATAATGAATTTGCCTCTTTTTAGTCTCTAGAGGAAAAAAAAACCCCATGAAATATACACACCTATACAACAAAGAAAAGATTTCTCAGGAAACTTGCAGATGTCTTAACTGATAAAATATATTCCTAAAGATGACTATCAACTAATTTGAACTCCAAATGTCCAATGTTGTCCTGACTGCACTAAAGTCAGGAAGCACTACACTTGTACAGGAAAAGGCAGGAGCAAGGACCCAACCAAAAGTTTCAGAATATGGTACCCAAAGAAACAACTGAGAACTGCAAATGCCTTGAAAACCAGAACTAGATATGTTTAACTGCCGCCTACTCACCAACATTTAAAAAACTATGAGCAACCCACAAGCTTCTTTTATTTAGAAAACTAAGATTAGCCACCATCCAAAATTGAGGTTTTTATTTTTTTTAATTCTGAACTGAAAAGATTTGCCCAAGAATACTGAACAGAAAGGGATACAGAAAGGGAATCAGGAAGCAAAGCTAATATATAGAATCCAAACAGGCATTCTTCAGTCTTAGAAATTATTTTAGATAAAGTTTTAGGGGTGCTGGCATGTTACTGAGAAATCTGCCTAAAACCAAACTATTGCATTTTGCTAGATTTTGGATTAGGAAAATATGTATTTTCTCTGGTCAGACAGACAGCATTCTCACGTTTCTTGGCTTGTTTTAACTGTCTTAGCAGTGAATAACCCAAAGTACACAGAAACACTGTGGCACATTTTTGCTGTCAAATTTTCTACATCTGCAAAAGCACCAGGTTTTGGCAGCTCTCATGGTCTTTGCTTCTCTATTCCCTGTTATGCACTGCAAGTTTTGGTAATAAAGGTTTTTATATTTGTCTTTTTTTTTAAATTAAAGGTCTTATCTGTGTTGCAATAGGCTCTCTGCTGCACTGTAAAATGAAGAGTGGACAATCTTTTGGACACATCTCTTTAAAGGCTTTTACGTAACAATAAGCACCTGGACTCACTGACTCAAATGGGTTTCTCCACTAAAACAAACAGGTTAAGAGAAGAAATCTGGAATCAGGAATAAAACTTTACAGAATTTAAAATCTGTATCAATGACAGTTAAAGAACTACACTGTACATTAAATGCTAAACATGAACTGAAGCTGAACTCCTAGGAAGGCATCTAAATAAAATGAAATGTGGACACCGCACACAGACCTATACTAAAAATAGCCTCTCCATTACAGGACTTACTCCCCATTTTGGACTTGACTCTTTTACTCTTGATTATGTTTGCAAATTTTAATCATTTGACCTATAAGATTAAGAGCTGTGCAAGCTTCAAAATGTACTTTATTGTTATAAGAAAATTATTTTCTTCCAAAAATTGTCAGAGTAACTCCAACCAGTATAACAATAAATCTGATGAGCTCTCTTTAGTCCACATGTTTTGGATGAGGAACTGAATTAATCACTAATATTCAAACATATTGAAATCCTTGAAAGTCTGAAAACTACATATGCTCAGAGAGAACTGGGGAGTTTCAACAACAACCACTTCTAAGATCCCACTCTCACAAAATACACTCCAGAGAAGAGTCAATAGGACTTTTCATTAACTACTTACCTCGTACCAGCTCTGGAAAGCTGAAATTTTCACTTTGTTTATTCTGTGACAGCCAACTCTGTCTATCTGGCTTCAGACTGCATGGAAGATGAAGATGCAAAGTTCAAACGCAAAAGTGACGTGAGCAAAGAATTGGTTCAGATTAGAGGAGTACATCGACTCAGGCTTTTCAGAAAGAGTTGATGGGATATGGTGACAGGCCAAAATGTCACCTGGCAGTTGTGAAGATATGAAGTGAGATTGAACTATAGATCCTCTAATTTTATTTTTTTTCACCACATATTATTAGGAAGTGGGAAATCCCACAACATGGAGAGGAGCTATGTTGAATACTAGCAGAAAGAATGAGGAGCAACTAAAATCTGTGGGGGCTGGTATAAGAAACCTGAAGATGGGAAATAGCTTGAAGATCCAATAGAATGCAAAGATAGAGTTAGAAGAGGACATGAACAACATACATCAAGATTCTCCAGTTTTTGCTTTTCAACTGTTGACAAATAGTTGTGGAAACAAGAGGTAAAGTACTACATCTCACTTTAATATCATAGAATGGTTTGGGTTGGAATGGACCTTTATAGATCACCTAATCCAACCCCCATTGGGGACAACTTTTCACTAGATCACTAGATATCCATTCACACAAGTAAACATATGGAAGACCTATGTAGGTATCAGAATTGTCACAACAGGATTTTTTTAAATTTAAAAATAACAGATTCCCCATACTACATTTAAAAATGTAAAAAACAAAGGTTGGCAAGTCAAGAACTTAGAAGACATTATGGCTAATGTCAGAATTGAGATTGCTTAGTGTCTTAATTTCTCCCCTTATAGCATATGATTATAACAGCATTATATTGTTATAAGTTATTTTTCCCACTTGGAAGGACGCATTATATCCCAATTCTAGTAATGTATTTTTAAACACAGAAAATGCTACAATGGGACTATGATTCCTACAAAGTTTAGAAAATGTATAAACAAGCAATGAAGCTGATGGTGGGAAATAAGAAAATAAGAAAACGCAAGCAGGTTGCAATTTAAAGCGTTAAGAAATCAGACTTCTTTGTACTAAGACAATGCTGGAAGCCCCAAGGGAAAAAAAAAGAGGAGAACACATCTGTTCCTATTGACGTCAAGGAGGCTATGGGCCAGGATCTGCCCCTGTACACATACAACTACCATTACTTCCAGCTGAAAGAACTTGTAACTTTGGATTGAACTGGGTCTTGTGCAAAAAAGTCAAAACATCATAGTGTTATTAAGTGTCGTAAATTACTATCAGTGTATTTTGCTGGTGCCTAACAGTATCGTACAAACCGAATCTTTGACCAGTCCCTGCCTTGAAAACTTAAGTGTCCCAGTCTAAGAAAATACGCAACTAGCTTAGGAGGAGGATACCAAGAAACACTGGCAGAGGCTTTCTGCATCCAGAGTTTGGTTATTCTAAACTATTTACAACCAGACCGTATTACTTGAAAATTCCTGTTGCTGTAGATTAGAAAATAATGTACTGAATCCTTTTTAATTCATATTCTTTTGATAGTTATCAAGTGATCAATCAGAATTTACTTAAATAATTATTCCCTCCCAAATGGTTTGGAATGATTGTAGAAATACCTCTCTAAGTATATTTTACTGATGATGGTTTTCGTTATAAGTCTACTTGGATATTGTTGACATTGTAGTTCCTCTTCCAATGTTCTTCTTCATTAGAGGACTTTTGAGTCACTTTTCTGTCATAGATATTACACCACAACCAACTGAACAAAATGTGTTCATTTACTTTATTTACTTAAAGGTTTATAAAGCTTTAATAGAAAGAATAAAGAAAGAAGGCGTAAGGAATTGAAACATTGTTCATGGAGAGACAGTTTAATCTATTTGCTTTTAAAAAATACCTGCAGAAACAATACTTCTAATATCAATATTTTTAAATACTGTCTCTTCTTAGTAGAAAGCCTATAGCAGTTTTTATTTTGTGCATAATTATATTTGTGGGACCTGAAATTATAAATAGTGTCAGAGGGATCAGCTGGGCATTAACTTATTAAGGGGTGTAACTCAGGGTTCTTATGGTGCATTCTTACATAGTATTTCAATATCAGTAAGACTATTTTGATATCCAGCAGGGACCGTACTCTACTATATTCTCCATGGGAACTGTAAAATAATGTTCAGTATCTTAAACTGCACTGCTGGTGACTTGTGACAATTGTTTTTTTCTGTCATTTTTTGAATGCTTATGTAAAATTTTTACCCAGATCTGTTAATAAAAACTGGTGAAATTTTATAAGAAGTACTTATTCATTGTCATGTTTTCATTTAAATGCAGTCTGAGGAAATCCAGAAAAACCCTACTATTAAAGTGTACATTAGTATTGAGTTTAGTATTAAAAGGGAAAAAAAAGCCTATGGCAAACTATGATAAATAATTTGGTTATAACAGAATTATCTATTGTTCTCCAGGAAATAGCACATTGGCTTGCACTGCAGAGATTCCAAAAGAATCAGAATTTTGGAAGGCATGAAAAGAACTTAGCTGCCACATGAGCTGGGAGATATGGGTTCTTTTTTATACTTGGTACAGCCAATTTTCCTAGTTTCAGGAATATAAACTTTAAAGAAGCCAGTGTGCAGTAGTCCTTGTATCTTCTTATGTTCTTGTACTACTGGCTGCAGTAGAGTTAATTTTCTTCATAATAGCTATGCATGGTGCTACAGTTTGGATTTGATATCAAAACAGTATTGATAACACAGGGATGTTTTCATTACTGTTGAGCAGGGCTTGCACAGCACCAAGGCCTTTTCTGCTTCTCATACCACCAGCGAGCAAGCTGGGGGTGAACAAAGGGTTGGGAGGGGACACAGCTGGGGCAGATGACCCTGAACAGGGATATTCTACATTACATGCTCTGCATATAAAGCTGGGGGAAGAAGGAACAGGGAGATACTTAGAGTCATGCCATTTGTCTTCCTAAGCAACCATTATGCATGATGGACACCTGTTTTCCTGGAGATGGCTGAACACCTGCCTGCAGATGAAAAATGTTCAAAGAATTCCTTGTTTTGCTTTGCCTGTGTGTGTGGTTTTTGTTTTACTATCTTTATCTCAACTCTTGAGTTGTCTTTTACCCTTTCAATTCTCTTCTTCATCCCATTGTGGTGGTCACTAGCAAGTGGCTATCTGGTCTAAACCACAAAAGTGCTCCATATAATATATGCCTTCATTAGTAAGACGTTGTGTAAATCAGATCCATTTTCACCAACCTTCATTGTCTATGCCATTTTTACCAGTGGTACCAAGCAGACTGGTAAAAAAGCTAAGTCAGGTCCAGGGGACTTCATTTTATTAGGAACTTCCTGAAGGTCCTAATGCTCATGGAAAGTCTTACATAATTTCTATATATATTCACATACGTATATGTGAGCAAGATTGCAATGAAGTATTTCCTAACAAGAGAGATTCAGAAAGATCCAATAAGCTACTAAGTACTGCTATACAATCTATGGCATAGGTTTTTGGTGCAGTAAATGAATAGGTAAAAATGAAGTAAAAATTGGCCCATAGGAGTTTACCTTACTCTGTCTCTAAACATAGACCAAGAACTCAGGAAAGACACACACATTCTCTAAGTTACAGAGACAATGAAGTCAAACCTAGAGGCAATGTATGAAAGTATCTTCTCAACTTTACTATTACAATTCACAGCTCATGTATACATGCATATTTGCTTTGTTTACACAATTCCTACAAATTATTCTCTGGATGGACTTGATTCTTGCCATTTGTTCTTATTTTTCAGTGGTCAGAAATATCGGTGGTCACTACTTGACCACTTGATCAAAGTGTCCGCAAGTCACTGGTTAATTGCTAAAAAGAAAGAGCTTTCTGTAAAACCATTTGTTAATCGTAACACACTTTCTACTGACAGCTGTTGCCACAGCAAACTCGAACAGATAAGGTGAGATACAACCAGGTCAACAAAATTCCATATCTATACTAGACACAGTTGATACATGATAAAAATACACTTTCCCTTCTCCAAACTTTACGACACTGCTAGCTCAGAGTCATTCCAGAATCTCTAATATTTATGAATTTTTCTTTCCTTTGTGATTTTCAGATGTTGAGTCTCTAGTGTATAATCAAAGTTTTGCCTTTTTTTTCCATTAAAACTTCATCCCAGCTCTATGATTTTGCTCCTCATCTGGCTAGTATGTAATTCTAAACATCCTGTATACTGCTTGTGTTTTTTACCAATTTTAATTAATTTGTACTTACTTACCAAGACCACTACTGAAAATGCATTAAAAAAATCAAATCCAAATTTTTGAAATGCTACCCCTAACTTTTCTCCAGAATGATATCTTTAACAGGACAACTTTTTGACATCCTTCATATACTTAATCTTTCACATGTACACCTATCTGTATATTCTATAGTTTATCAAATGGGTTCTTCAGTAAAAACACCCCTGAATTTCAGTGTTGCATGCCATCATCAACTATTTAATGTAACTGAAATTTCCTAGGTCTCTTCTCTTTTCTTAAATATTGGTACTGCCTGACTAACTCCAGGAATAAGGTATCGGCTTTGACTTAAAAAATTTAGTTAGAGCTTTACTCCTGAAACTTGAACACACTCTTGATTTTAATTTCACTGTGGAAACAGTACAATAATCCATTTGTATACATTCATTCATTCCCCTTAATTGTTTTTCCTTTGCTCCACGCTTTACTCCAGTCATCAATTATCAAGAAAGTGAGTACTCAGGTTGAGGAAGACAGCCTAGATTTTTTACCCCGTCCTCACTAAAAAAAGAGCACAACTTCCTCATTTAGTAATTTCTTTACATTTTTACAAGTGATGCACCTTTTATTATTTATTATTTATTTTAACCATCTACTTTAATTTGAAAATTGGCAAATCTCATCTCATCCTTTCTATTTCTTAGCTCTAAGTCTCAGCTTTCTCCTCCTCCTACTTCTACTGTCTTAAGTCACTCCTTTTGCAGATAAATACTGAGTCTTCTTAATACAATGTTCTTCTCATTTATTAAAGAAATTTCCAGACTTTCACCATATTCAGAAGTTCAACAGATTTCACTATTTCCTTCTAATTTTCCTGACAGCATATCTTTTTAAAGCTGAAGTACTTAGATTTCAATTAATTTATATTGGCATTCATTTTAAACTGATTGAATCCATAATTACTAAATCAAATATTATATTCTCTGTGTAGAACAGGTTCTGTGAATGTTGCTAAATGATGAACACCTATGCATTTTTCTACTAAAATAAAGTCCTATAGGTGTCTTACCCATATGTTCTTCCTTGTTTTTAGCAATTATGTATATTGAATAGTACTAATTAAAACTCTCGGGCAAAGAGTATTTGCTTTTCTTGAGTTTGGAATGTACTGCTACCAATGAAATAATAATAATTATAATAATAAGTCTTGCTTTTTAACAGATGAAGGATTTTCTAGTATGCTGATCATTTAGTGGATTGTGTTATGAGTTGCTGAACCATATAGCCCAACAGAAGAGAGGCTGCCATAGCAACATTTTCCTAGGTCTAGTCAATAGCAAGTCTGAACACATACTCCTAACAAGCACACACATTCCTAACAAGCACACACACACAGTGTACGTATACATAAATATATATATAAATATACACATGGCCAACCATACAGATCAGTGTAGATAGAAACACTCAAGCAAACACAGATGACAGGAACGGTGAAATCCTGACCTCCTCTCTGGCATGAGTCCCTGTAACCTGAAGTGTGACTCTTGCTGCTGGCACTTGCACCCCATACCGAGACACACATATAGAACAGGGAGACCTCTCACACAGTAAGATTTAGAAACAGAGTCTAGTCTAGGAGAGACTGGGCTGATCAGGTGCAGGGCATAGCCAGACAAGCATACTGACCAGCAGTTTGTTTACACAGGACTAGCCCTATTCACCTCCTTATCTTACCTCCCACTATTTTCTCACACTTGTTAATTCCCATATCATCTCAATCCCTTCCCTTTCCTGCCTTTGACTCTTGCTCTAAACATCCCATGCTAAGCTTTAACAAGCCCAAAATGTTCTCACGATTATGTGTCCTATGCCCCTAGGTAGTTAACACCCTCAATCTGTGAGGTGATACATGGAGATTTTTGGTTGGCTGCTGGGTGTTCCCCCAGCTTTATGGGGCTGAGGCTTCGCTGGAAAGGGTTGGGCATGGACTCCCTTTCTCTGATGGGGCTCCCCTGCCTGCCCAAGTGCCTCTTGGTTCCTCTGTGCGTGTGGAGATGACCCTTTAATCACCTAATCTAACACACTGTCTCCTGAAATTAAATATCACCGTTGAGTTGCTGCCAGGTCTGCAATGCTAATCGGCAGAAGAGGTTCAAGACAGGAAGTAAGCAAAGGCAGCCCAAAACAGCACAACTGTAGGACTAAGGTGAAAAGCCTTACCATAACTGCTATAAAAATAAACACAGTCAATTTCCAAAGAGGAACTTAGGCTCAGAGTTCTTATATTTCTTCTGAGAGACTGTGATTAAGGACTACACCTTAATGAGATTCTTCTCCCTTTTTCTGCTTCCCTCTACCACTACAGACAACCATTTTATCTATAACCAGACCATTGAAACAGCTCTTTTTGTTTCAGACTTTACCACCATGGAAATCATCAACACTTCCGATTTGGGTCAACTCCAAAACCTTGCTGAGGCACCACTTGACCACCAGGTCAATTAAACTGGCACAGCACCTTGGAAACTCCAGTGTTTGGTTTTTCTGGGAGCTTGTCCAGCATGACTTGTCTTGACTAGACACAACTCTGCTTTGCTCATAAAATATGAAGGGCTCTTAGACTACAGGGATCTGACATGCACTGGTGACATGTATTATCTATCTGAACTGACTGCCTGGTGTTATTTATGCAGCAACATAGCTGTGCTTGTCCTGCACATGGGATGGGTCATGGGATTGTAAACTGTGATAGGAATCCAGCCTTCTTTATGAGCCTGTCGGTTACTCAGTACGTGCACAGCACTCTCTGAACAACAAAAATAGACATGGTGCCTACTGTTGGGTCTCAGAAATATCAGGACGCCCTGGGTAAGGGAGAAGCGTGCCCATGTGACCTTGAGCACAGCACAGTGCCCTTCCTCTGTTCTCCCCTTCCAGGCACAGAGCAGGAGCTGCTGCCAGAGGAACTCCCCTCCGCCCCAGGGAGCGCTGCATTTTTTAGGGGCGCGGGCTGCGAGTGCTGGCGTGCCCTGAGGCCGGGACGTGAGAGTGGGAGCTGGGTGCCCGAGCACGAGCGATTACAGCGGATTTTCCTTCGAACAGTGAGACAGGCACACGGCTCTCCCGGGGGAGGCCCTCCTTCGGCCTTGCAGCGCTGCCCTCCCGCGTTCCCCGCCGCTCAGCCCGGTACGGCCGAGCGAGCCGGCGGCGCCAGTAGCAGACACATCCCCACCAGCCCGGCTGCAGCGCCGCGCGCCCCACGGCCCGCGAAGGGGACTCCAGGG